AATGCATTTCTTTCTTTCATGTACTGTCTTTATCAGCAGGATAGGTAAATATTCTTGAGTGGAAGGAGGCAAGCAGTCTTTTCTTGTACTCTATTTTCTTTTCCTAATGATATGCTTACCTACTAGTAAAGCAGGTAGATCTATCTGGTTGTTACCTGCAGATACTTTTTTTTCCTGCCTCCCTTCATTAGTGAGTCTTAATTAAGATAGTAGAAATAGCTACTAACTTTCACCTCCTTTGTTGGGGGGGGGAGGAAGGTGTTATAAAAATGTTAAATAGATATATCTGTTAAAGCTTGAATGTCATTATTTATTTTAAAACCAAAATCTCCTGGGGCTCCTGGGTGGCTCAGTCATTAAGCGTCTGCCTTTGGCTCAGGTCATGATCCCAGGGTCCTGAGATCGAGCCCCGCATCGGGCTCCCTGCTCTGCGGGAAGCCTGCTTCTCCCTCTCCCACTCCCCCTGCTTGTGTTCCCTCTCTGACTGTCTTTCTCTCTGTCAAATAGATAGAACCTTTAAAAAAAAAATAAAACCAAAATCTCCTTTTTTCTTTAATATGTAAAATCATTTTCCTTATTCTTTATGAGAGGAACTTACCCATTAACCATTTTCAGAGACTTTCTTTGACTTGATCTAAGATATATTAGAAAAGAAGAAAAACATTTCAAGAAGATCCTAATGTTTCACAAGAATTTTTATAATCAGAAATGTTTGGGGCGCCTGGGTGGCTCAGTTGGTTGGGCATCTACCTTCGGCTCTGATTGATCCCTGATTCCTGGGGTCAAGCCCTGCGTTCGGCTCCCCACTCAGCGGGGAGCCTGCTTCTGCTTCTCCCTCACCCTCTGCCTCTCCCCTCCGCTTGTTCTCTCAAATAAATAAAATCCTTAAAAAAAAAAAAAAAAAGAAATGTTTATGCTTCTTTTCTTCCTGACCATCTAATATTTCCATTTCTACTCTGAATCTTTACATCTTCTCTAATATATATTGCCTGCAGAGGCTCATAAGACTATTTTTTCAGGGTGCCTTTCATTGATCCTGTTTATAAATTTACTTTTCTTATTTTATAGCTTCCTTTGTCCTCAGACTCTTTTTTTGTCACCTGCATAGTGGCATAATATGATAGCTGACGCATTGATAGGATATAATGCTATTTAACAAAATCTACAGACAATAAGTAACAAAAACTACAGCTTTGATGGAAGCTATTGATATGTATCCTACAAATGTAAGAAGCACATCGAAACGGACAGACTAGCCATTATATTGGCATCTAGTGATGCACGATCTGTAATTGGTATGTGAATGTGTAATTGTAGAATAAGCATTGCCTTCATCATATCTACCTCTGACTGTTGTAGTCCAGCCACTCCTAAATTCTTTTAATAGCTTATTATTTATGTTATTTTAAATCTTAACATATAATATTATAACATGCTCTGTGGCACAGATTTCTTAGTTACAGAATCTAAAATCTTACGTATAATTTGCTCCTTCCTGATAATAAAGAGGTTTGAGTTGACAGAAAGCACTAATGCTCTCCATTCAGAAACTATATAGGGAATTAGGCAGCTGCTGTCCTTGGTGATGAAATTATTTCATGTGAATTCATAAGGAAAACAACTAGTTAAAAAAGCAGGATAATCTTGAGTATACTGTTTGTGGCTGCTGGTGGTATCTCCATAGATCTATTTGAACTAGAAAAATACAGACTCCAGTATCTTAATGTCTTGAGTTCCTGACTGCCAGGCAGAGGAAATGTTTAACTATTTTAATCATGTTTCTGTATCTCAGAAAGAAAGCCCTTATGAGAGGAAATGACAACGTCCTACCACAAAGTTATCTCTTATCAGTTATAGTCCCAGTCGATAATGATTTGTCAAACTTGGACATGTGTAAAATGCAAGGGCTGTGTTATTTACTTTGGAAAGGAAAAATTAGATGAAGCTGATAAAGACGGAGTCCTGGCTTTTGTTAGGAGACAGAAACCATTAGAGACTGTCATTGTTAGCTTAAGAAAGTGTCCTTGGACCCCTCCCTCTGCGCCAGCTGAAACCTAAACCTGCTTGAATCATTCTTTGCACTTGAGGGGAGAGCAGGGCAAACAGGAGGGGAAGAAGAATGAAGACAACCTTGACAGAGGTTTTGCATTTTAAATGGGGAGCAAAATGTGGACCTTAAAACAGACCTATTTGTATGAGTCAGGAGAAACTGACTTTTGTTCTCTTTCCCACTCCCATCTATTTACGTTTTTGAAAGTTCATTTCTTATCCTTCCAAACGTGTGGCATTCCTTCACGTACAGTGTATGTTGCTCTCCTTTTGCCTTTCGGTCGATGTGATTCTTTTTCATTAGTGGAGGCAGAGAAAACACATCTAGCTCAAAGCAACATGAATCAGTGCATGCTTTACATACCTTTCTCCTCACAGCACTCTTCTTGGTTCCTTGCAGTGCTCCTAGTGTTCCTCGCAGAAGGGAGCATGGAGGAAAAATGATTTCTAAATAGTAGGCTATTTTAGGGGTGGAGGTAAAGTTTGTGAACTGAAACCCCATTTTGCTCCTTCTTTTCTTGTCTAGATTTCTGTGGACTCCTTTCAAAGCAGGCGGTCCTTTGCTTAGGGGGACTTAACTGGATTATGGTTGCAGAGGCTGAGAAATAGCAAAGCCAATACTTCAGGTCAGGGCATTTTAAACAGTTTGAAGCTGAGGATGAGGATCAAGACAGCCTCGCAGAGAATAGGTTTGGTTGTAAATATTTGTTGGAAATGACAGGGAAACCTTTCTGTCCTCTCTAAATATATCTATTTTTTAGTTGGTCCAGATAAACCACTCTTTGTAGCCCATTAGTAAGGGCTACCACTAGCTTATTCATCACAGATTTTTAGGGAAACTGTCCCCTAATGTGGATGTTCATTCTGTAAGGATGGGTTTGACATGTGAAGGTGCCACGGCTCTGTCTGAGAATGGCTTACGAGCAGTTTCCTTTTGAATGAAATTATTGGTCTGAGTCAAAGCAAAGCAAAATAAATAAACTGCATAAAGAAGATCATAGGAACAAAGTTGTGATTGAATTTATTTAAATTTCCTTAAACTTTGTATAAATGTATATTTGTTATAAATAACTTCATAGTCATTAAATTCTAAATAAAAGAAACAAGTTTCATTTCCTGTATAGATCAAAACTTTTTTTATGTTTCTTATCTTTTTTCATATGTATGTGTAATTTTTATGTAGTTGAAATACTATCAATATAATTTTATGAATTTTTCTATTTTTCATCTTTTGAACTTGTGTTTTGCTTAGTTGAAGTTTTCACTAGTAGGCCCTGTTTTTCTGGCAAGCTAAAGTAAATTTCCTTCACATCTTTACTTTGTAATCCAACAGGGGAGACTGTAAAGATGCTTTAATGTTGTGGTCATTTCACATAAGAGTGTCTAAAATGATGACCTATTGTCTCTTTTTGTGTTATTAAGATGAAAATAGGTGTCCTTTTGTACTCTCAAGGTTACAGTTTTTATGTGCTTTTTAATCTTTTTTTTTTAAATTATGTGGTATTTATCTGTCCATAAAATGTTTTTCTCAGTGATTTTGTAACGCTCACTAACTTTTCTAATGGCCTTTTTTTTTTTTTTTTTAAATAAATCTATGCTTGGTTCATGGTGTAGAATCTTGAGCATCTTACTATCAAGCTTTGGATTCATAAGAGGTTTTTATTTTTTTTATTTTTCTTTTCTTTTTGTTTTTGAGTGCTTACAGAGTATCTAGCACTGGGAGTTTCTTAAACATAGAGATTCAGTGTGTGCTATCATGGGTATATAGCAAATGAACAGAATAGTCAATGAATTTGAACCAGTAAATGTAGAGAGGTGGTGATTTTGGAGGGACAGGAATTGTGCTGCTGAGTTGTAGAATGAGTAGATTTCACTAGGAAAAACATCTTGGTGAAGAAACCTATACCCCCGAAAAAGAAATGAGCCATCCTTGATGGAATAAGGAAAACCGACCTTGTCATCATGAGTCAGCTCAACCCAAATTAGACGCGCCCTGCTGCTTATATTCTGATGAATATAAGTGTTACAGTAAAAACTGCAGCTAGGTCTTTTATTTTGATTATTTCTTAAGCAATTTTGTCTTTTCTTTTTTGCTTTATTTTGTTTTGTTCAATATTTACTTTGTGTCCTTGTATTCTTGTTTAATTCCTATAGGCCAACAGTGTAGGGAATAGTTTCCTTTCTCAGTTGAAGAAATTGAGGCAAAAGTAAATTGTGAGTTACTCATTGTCAGGCCACATAACCAAACAGTTTTAGCACTGTGGCTATCTCCAGTTCTTACCTAATGTTGTTTGTTTTACTTTGTCTGTTGATGTCTAGATTTAATCTGTCTACCTTGTTCATATTATAATTTTCTGGCATTACTTCTAGGTTTGGCTTTTCCATTTATTTTCTTACTTTTTACATGATCCCCCTCTCTTTCTAGCATATTTCTGTATTTTGATTGCATGTTGATGTAAATACTAATTCTTATGCCCTTCAGAATGTGGCTGGCAGGTCATTTAATTCCTCCTGTGTGGCAAGTTTTGGTTTTGACCACTGCAACTTAGTCTTTTATATAGACCACCATGAATCTAAGAAGATGTGGTCACATGGTCAAAATCACATTCCCACCTTCTTCTCTTCCTTTTTGGAGGCTTCCTTTTTGAAGCCTAAAATATATCTCTAAAAGCAGATGCAGGGCCCGTGACACCTGTTACTCTTTTCTGTTATTTATCCTTCTGTTCTGTGTCCCAGCCTTGCTGATATCTTCACAGTTTATTAATCCCATGTCTAAAATACCAAAACTAGGTTTCTGGGAGTGTGGTTTGTTTGTTTGTTTGTTCTGTGTTTTTCTCCTAGAAACTAGAACTGGCTTTTAGTTTTTACACTTGAATAGTAAAAATGAATGCAGTTCAAAGTTCTTCATAGCTTTGTTTGAATATTTTGTGACAATCTTGTTTGTTTTGCAGGTACCCGGAGCCCAAGATTTGGTGGATTTCTCTCCTGTTTATCGATGTCTACACATATATTCTGTCCTGGTGAGTCTTTATCTGGCTCTGACTAATAAAGATGTATATTGAGTTAAAAACTCTTCTTTCTCATTTTTTATAGTTTTTCTGTTTACTCTTATTAAGAGTAAGAAAAAAGAAACTATTATTTAAGGAGTATTAATTATAAAAAATTATCCTTTTCTTCTTGAATCTTTTGTTTGCCATGTAATGATGTAATGATATAAGTGAATAACATTAATTTCTGTCAGTCACCAAAAATGATAAGATTATACCTAGAAATAGTCACATACACAGATTTCTGTTCTTAATTTAATGATGTAGTTATATACATAAAAATAGCCTATGTTTATATATTAAAATAATATTTATAAAAACTTTATTTTTTTATTCCTGATGACACTTACTTCTTTTGTCATATAAAACATATGCAAGGAGGAATCTCTCTGGGGGGAAGTTGTTATGGGTGTTAATGGTATTATAAGAAATAGCCCTTTCTCCATCTTGGTAGTACACCTACATGCAGACACATAATACACACAAAGGCAACGAAAAAATTAAAAAGTATCATCAAAGACAGATTGATGAGAGAAGTCCATTATTGGTATTTCTTAATAGCAAAGTTCTGTGAAGTTTCTCTCAGGTTATTTTATAATATGATTGAGTGAGTCTTTTGGGCAGTCTTCTATCCATTTTCTTTCTTCATATGTTTCATACAGTGTCATGTAGTCTTTACTCCAGACAGGCTGGGACACTGGTCTGTGAGCTTCATGGCCAGGGTACTTTGAGGTGATTCCCATTAGTCTGAGAAAAGACTTGGTGATTTTTTCTCCCCTCCTCTCCTTCCTCCTCCTACTTCTCCTTGCTCTCTGATTTCCACTTCCCGTCTTCCTTTCTTCTCCCTCTCTCCACTCCTTCTCTCCATCTATCATTCCTTATCATATGAAGATGGAGCAAGGTATAGATTGAGTTGTCTCAAGGCAGCTAAAATAAGTAGATAATTTTTTTTTCAATCTCATGTGCAGAGAATTAAATAAATCATATACATCTTAGTTTGTGACACATTATTATCATTATTTCATATAAGTCCAAGGTATATGTATAATATTTATTTTAACTAATTTTTGCTAACCTGATAGATATTGAAGGATATCTCTTTGTTTTAATTTGCATTTCTTTGATTACTGATAACATTGTGCTTCTCTTTATAGACTCACTAATCATTTAAGATTTTTCTTCTCTGAAATGCCTCTTTTTAACTTCGTTCAATTTTGTATTGGCTTTCTTAAGCCAAATTTTGTTTTTTTCTCTTTGCTAGAAAGAGAAATCTCAGAAATTCCTTATATATTGTAGATATTGACAGTTTAGGATGTTGCCAATGTCTTTTTTCCCAGTTTGCCCCCAGACTTTAAACTATGTATGTATTATCTTTCACAAACAGAAATCCTTGATTTTAATGTAATCAAATCCATCAATTTTAACCTTAGAGTTTGCTTTTTTTTTTTTAAAGATTTTATTTATTTATATGACAGAGAGAGACACAGTGAGAGAGGGAACACAAGCAGGGGGAGTGGGAGAGGGAGAAGCAGGCTTCCCGCTGAGCAGGGAGCCCGAGGCCCTGGGATCATGACCTAAGCCAAAGCAGATGCTTAACTACTGAGCCACCCAGGTGCTCCCCATATAACTTTTGAATCCCCCCAAACTTAAACTAATAGCTTACTGTTGACCAGAAGCCTTACTGATAATAGTAGATTAATATATTTTGCATGTTTTATATATTATATACTACATTCTTATAATAAAGTAAGCTAGAGAAAAGAAAATATTAAGAAAATCGTAAGAAAAGACATTTATACTACTGTACTGTATTTGTTGAAAAAAATCCCTATTTAAGTGACTGGTGCAGTTCAAACCCATATTGTTCAGGGGTCAATTGTACATGTGTTTTTAAAGTTGTGTCCCTCTTACACTGCTTTAGCTACTCTCACAAGTTTTGAATATAGTATGTTTGTTCAAACATTTTCTAATTTCCATTACAAATTCTTCTTTGATTCATGGATTATTTAGAAATGCATCTCATAATTTCCAAGCATATGGATATTTTTAAGATAATTTTTTTTTTTAATATTTTTATTTATTTGACAGAGAGAGACACAGTGAGAGAGGCAACACAAGCAGGGGGAGTGGGAGAGGGAGAAGCAGGCTTCCCACAGAGCAGGGAGCCCGATGCGGGGCTTGATCCTAGGACCCTGGGGTCATGACCTGAGCCGAAGGCAGACGCTTAACAACTGAGCCACCCAGGCGCTCCTAGAGTTTGTACTTTTTAAGTATTGTTTTTTTTTTTTTTTAAAAAAACTTCTCTTTCTATTCAAGGTCATAGGGCATTCCCTTTATGCTACCTTTAACATGTTTCCCATCACATCTTGATATTGATCCATCTTGGATTCACTGTAGTATATAGTATGAATTGGGAATCCAACTGAATTTTTTTTTATATGATGAATTCAGTTTTACCAGTCCCATCTACTACATAATCTGTATATGGCCCACTGATTCCTGATAGTACCTTGGGCATATACTAAATATCCTTATATGAGAATCTGTTTCTCAATTTGAAATATCCATATATGAGAATCTGTTTCTCAATTCTCTAGTTAGTTGAATTTGGCTTTGTGATACATCTACATGTATGGTAAAACAGGTCCCTTCTCATTTCTCCTCTTTTAAATTGCCTTTACTATTTATGAACCTTTATTTTCTCTATTTTATTTATTTATTTATTTATTAAAAAGCCACATTATTTTATTCAAGTATAGAATGAATTTCATAATGAAAATAGCTGTCTATAATAGTAGTTTTTTTTTTTTAATGGAAAGGCTTCAGTACCTTTTCCCCCAAAGAAGTTAAAATAAATTGGGGCTACCTTAAAGTTGTGACTTCCTTGAGGCTTATCTTGTGACAGAATCATTTTCTACCATCATTTTCTTTTCTTCTTCTTCTTCTCTTCCTCTTCCTCCTTTTCCTCCTCCACTTCCTTCTCCTCCTCTTCTACTTCTTCAATCTTCTTCTATTTTGTTTCAAATTTTTATTTAAATTCCAGTTAGTTAACCTAGAGTGATATAGTGTAATCTTAGTTTCAGGAGTAGATTTTAGTGGTTCTCTCTATATATTTTAGAATCTTTGAGTTCATTAAAAAAATTTCTTCTAGAATTTTGATTTGAATTGATAGATAAATTTTGGGAGGAATTAATAACTTTATAATGCTAAGTCATGCTACTCATGGAAAAGTCTACTTTTAAATTATTAAGCTTTGTTTCTATGTTAACAGTTTTGGGGATTCTTTTAAGGTTAATAGCAAAATACAGTTTTTGTTGCTGTTTTCAACTTTCCTTTTTAATTAATAATTGCTGATGTTGAGGAATGCTCTTGATTTTTGTAAGTTAACTTAAGTCTGGCAACCTTGCTCAACTCTTTTATTATGGTTTGTTTTTTGGTTTATGATAGATTTTCTGTGTAGTTGATCTGCAGATATTGACTTGTTTATTTTCTTGCTATCCATATATTTCATTGTTCTTCATATTGTTTTATTGTATTGACCAAGATCATCATTACTTTGTTGTTCAGGGAGATAATAGTAGGCGTCCTTGTCTGATTTTTGATCTGTAACGGAAGGTATCCAAAGTTTCTCCATTAACTGATGTTTACAATAAAGTTTTGGTAAATATTCTTTATCTAGTTATTCCAGACTCCTGATCGTTTTTTATAAAAACATAAATGAGTATTGAATTTTATTGGATTTGTTTTCCAAATATATTGATACAGTCCTTTGGTCTTTATCCTTTAGTTCATGAATGTGGTGAGTTTCATTGATAGATTTTTGTGATATTAAATGATCCTTGTATACTTTAGATAAATCCAACTTGATGAGGATATATTACTGCTTTTTTTTTTTAACAATCTGGAATTCAGTTCCTTTTATTTTTTTTATTTTTAATCATTTTGTATTTTATTGTTAAGTCTCATAATTGCAAAATCAAGTGTACTTTCCCTCTCAAATAGTGTAAAAGTATGAAAACCAGTAGTCTGTTTAGTTTAGTGTTTTATCTTCAGTGTCAGCAACAGTACTTGGCATATAGTAGGTACTCAATAAATACTAACTGAAGGAATAAGTACGTGATAGCTAAAAAATGCAGTACATTTGTTTGAGCGTATGCTAACTCAAACTTTATCGCTCATTTACTTATTCACTAAACACTTACTGAATTTCTGTTCTGCGTGAAATGGGTTTGTAGAGCAAGGATGTATAAATAAGAGCAAGGACTTCTGCTTTTAAAAAATTACAGCCTACCAGGAGAGAAGTTACAGTCTTTGAAGACTATAATATGCCAGCACTTTATCTCATCACAGTATTTATCTGCTAGTTTTTGTGAGCTTCCTTAAGATTTTATGATATAGAAAATGTAACAAATTTTCCTCAAATGAGAACTCTACAAGTGATTCATAGGAGTACTGAAGTAATTAATTTGCACACTTACTAGCTGTGTGGTGTGAGGCAAGTTACCTAAACCTTAGCTTTCTCATATGTGAGCTCTGATAATAATGATCTACTTAGTACAGTTACAGATAATATCTGAATGGTGCCTCACTCCGTCTTTGGCACATCATTGGAATTTATTAATCAGTGTAGTTAACTTGGCAAGAGTTACGTATCTCTGATCCTGATTATTAGACACATTATTGGTATTTTTTAAAGTATATGTTGTAAAGCATAGACATGTAAGCAGAGGTTCTAGTCTCTGCCATCAACATACAAAGTTTATCAATTATTCAAAATGTATATGTTCGTAAATACATGAAATCTGTGTCATCCTAAACTGAGTTTAAGGAGGGCCTTAAACTGCCCGTTTAAAAAATAAATTCCACACACTGATACTCTGTAGTGTTGAAATATTTGGCATTCATAAATGTTCTGTAATAATTTGATAAGGCATCGTTTATGTGGCAGAGACAGACCTCTTTCCTCATTCACA